TTACGGTGAACTTAAACTTCTACTTTACGACAGTTACGGCTTCCTTTCCTGAACAGTACTTAATGAAAAGTTAACGTGTGACATGGGATTGGCCGAGGGTCATCGTTAACAAGCCAAACAGAATATAGAATCGGATGGACGAAATAGCCCAAGAGCGTACATAGAAGCGCATCGATGAATAATTGAAGCGTGGAGCGTGAACTGAATGCGGAAAAATGTGAATGCGGACAGTTTTTGATACACCGCCTGAGGGATATACTGGGTGTCCTGTGGGAACATCGAGGAATTTATTGTCGTACTTCAACACCTGACTATCGCGCGAAAGTGTCGTATTAAGATGTTTAAAATATGAGAACCGAGTCAGTTTCTTTATCTTTTGATTGCCGTTTGTCGCAGTAAAATATATAAAAGTTACAGCTTATAAGAAAAATGTCAATAACGATAGCGTATAATAAATTTCCAAGAAAATTTAGAAATTGAAGACTTCGTTTATCAAATGTTTCGATAATGTATTGGTTTGCTTTTTCTTCAACAAATTTCAAAACCGCATTAATTTATTTAGCGTGTCGACGATCGAGAAGAGCTTGAAGATACTCTTGCCATTGAATTTATCTTACATCACGCGATTAATTCGACAAAAACGAAAGTCGAGCAATCAGAGTCGCGAATCGATGAGCAAAGTTCTTGCTGGACGACCGCGCGGAGATCGGTCCATTAAACGTTTCACTTCGCCGGCAAGTTCGTCCGCCATTCGTTTCTACTAATGCATCGCAAGACGAAGTTTTAATTCGACAAATACGACGACGACGGCGGCGGTGACGGCGGCGGTGACGGCGGCGGTGACGGCGGCGGTGACGGCGGCGGACACCCGATGCATTACCTACTTAAAGACAATGGCGTGGCCGCGAGCGTTTTCCGACAATGTATTACCGCCGGGCGGGAGATACTTTCCCTGATTCTCTTTAAATGGTGGCGGTGGCTTTGTTTTTAATGCGCGTGACCCAGTTGGCCCGGCGCTCCACTTTACCCACTGCACGTTGCATCTACCTCCGATAGCTTAAAACGAGTTTACACAGCGCATTCGTGATGTTCATCCCGGATGAAGCGTTTTGAAGCAAACGCGCTGGACGAATTGGTCCTGCTTATACCGCATTACGGATGTATCGAGCAATAAATTATCGCGTTACAGTTAGCGACGTGACTGTAAGTTAATAAGAAAACGTGAGAAATATATACAAGTGCGCTCGCCGAACTTAGAGTGCAATTAGAACTTTCGCGTAAATCACTCTTCGAAATTCGAGGCGCGACAGCGCTACTAAATAGGGACTGTTCACTAATTAGCGATGTTTCAGACACGTCGGAAATACTACGGCAACTTGGCGTCGCGTGAAACACCGCGGTATGAGCGTCCTTTAACGGCCCGATGTTACGCCGAACCGTAAATCGCTTTTACCGCCTCTTAGAAATAAAATTCATTTTTTGATTACGGCGATGCATGACGTCGATACATCGCGTTGTCGTAAAAAAAATACGCTAGCATTTCATGCGTCCCGCTTCGATCGCTTTGAAGCGCGCTCTTCAACCCGTCTGGAAAAATTATACGGTGTCTCGTGTCCACGCTTCCTCTTAGAGCCGCGTATGCTAGAAGCTAGAGTGAGAGAAACAGCGATTGGCGTGTATGGCGGGAAATAAGCACGATAAAATTGTCTCGGCGGCGTGCACGTGGAGACCTGCACGGACCTGGATGAAAAGTGGAGCACGGGAGAATTGCGCCGTGACGAAGCGACAAAGCAGTTAAGTGATCGATCAGTCCTTAGGTGGTGTGCATCATCTTTGCGACTGACCCCCGCGAAACCCCCTCTCGCTCCGCTGCCACCCCTTTTCCTCGGTCGCGTTATATATTACGCGGTCCGTACCACATAATAACGTCGGATGCATTCGTATAAAGGCGTCGTCTACGTGACGGAGACCGATTATGACCGGGTACATGCCCGACAAAACACACCGCGCGACGTGTATATAAAAAGAGTTCATACACTCGACGCCCGTCGCGCCACCGAAGGCGCATCATGCACACGATGCATCTCGTGTCGAACTTACACGGTTTTGGCAAATTAGGTTACCGCGCATGAACAACAAAATCTCTTGCATTTTTAATTTTCAACGAATTTTTGCAACAGCTGGATTATAAATTGAGATATTTTTTATCAAAAATTAGTACGTTCAAAAATTCTCAATTTTTCAGAAAGTCTGTAATTCAGAAAAAAATATACGACTTCCGGACTGTGTGTAACCACAAATATTTGCGCATTATCTAACAACGTCGAAAGAATTCAACGAATCAAATATGTTGCGTTATTTTTGCAATGTAAACATAGCGAGATACTAAACAACGTGATAGATTATATATTTTTTAAAAATTTATATTTACTTTTTATCGAGTTTTACGTTATCTGTCAGGTGAGTCCAAAGAGCGAAAATTAAATGACGGAAATTCCCTGGCGCGTAAATAATTGACAATGTGTGGATAAATTCGCACTACGAGGAAACACGTCGGGGCTCGCTTTAAAATAATTCAACGACATTGTTTTATCGATCAATTTACAATTCACTTCGAGCGTAAGCCGTCTTTGTAACTGACCCGATGACCTGCCGTACATTATATGGTCGCACGTTAACGTAGGTGTAGCACATAGATGCAACTATGTGATGAACGTTGTACGATGCGTTTATAAACTTTCTCACGCATGCACGCACACAATGCACGCCGTTCGCGGCGAGTAGATTGCATACAAAATAATGAAAAACGGTGCAGCGATGACAACGCTGCGACATAACGAACTCTTCACGGTTAAATAATTAACGTACTTTATGGCGACGTGTTTATTGAAAAATAGATGCAAGATTGTGATACATTATCCACCGAACATTTAAAAACAAGGTCATTTTTATTACTTTAAAATACAACAGCCTTTGAATAATTATCTTCGTTAAGATAATTATTTGTTATCGTTAGTGCAATTAAATTTGATCATAGAAAACTGAAATATTTATCTCTTTCCACTCGCGTAAATTATTAGATCACTTCTTCAACAATACAGAAATTTCTCGAATTGTGATCAAATATAGCTAACGTATGGAAACAAATAAATATTAGCAATATTAACAGAATAATATAAAAATAATTATATCATTCCCTTTAAATTATTATTATACAAGATTGATATTGACATGTGTTTGACGTCAAAATTAGAACAAAAATTATATTACGCCTCTGCAAAAATTACTTGAGCTAGAAAACAAATATAATAAAGTTTCATGGTTTCTTTATTTTCCATAAAATAATTGCATTTCCGCGTTATTTTAAACTGCCCAGCGTGATGAGTTAAAAGCCTGTTTTTTTTAAATAAATTATAGACTGATTAATCGATTAATTCACGGCGCATCGCGGCCGTATATTAATGTTCCGCGCCGACCTCGCAGTTTAGCATTATATTATGCGGTTACAACTGTGCAAGGGCAACTATGTGAAACACGCTTGCATAATCGATACGTGCGATTTCGGCATATTAACAGCGTAAGCATGTACATGGAATTTCCACGAACAATGGCTAGCGCCGACAATACGCTTCATTAAAAGTTGGAAACTCCGTAAAAAATACATAAAATGTATCATTGCCATTATAAAGTTAGTTGAATTTTAACATTTGTAGATGACATAAATTTTTGTATATTATCGTAATTATCGCGATTGTGTGAGTTCAACGTCATCGAGATATTCTACACGATTAAACACGAAACTGGATCATTTTTTGAGTAAAGATTCCGTTGTTATTTATCAAAATTTCATCATTATATTATTTTACGTATGCATAAATTTTGTCTATTTTTGCCGTTTTCAAGTTTTATTTATTTATGGAAATTTCTTCATTGCATGCTATGTTTATATTACGTATTTTAATAATTGTAAAATTAATAGATTTATAAATAAACGCTTAAATTGCATCATAAAAACTTCGTTTCGATACGCATTATTTTGAAAAACAATAATTACATCAATATGTTATGCATTTACACATTCCAGCGACTTTGCCAATTAAAAGAATATATGAGTGAGGTATACCCGTTATCTCTGTTAAATTGCAACAAATTCTAGCATGCAAGATAAATGTTGCGTGAAATTATCAAAACGTTTCATCGCTTGGCCGTACGTTCGACAAGCAAAATGTATTTTTTTTTTTTTTTTTTTTTTTTTGGGTTAGTTTTGAAATATCACTTTATTAAGTGAACAGTTACATTACGGTCGAATTTAGGCTGTATTTGAAAGATAAACGACGGCATTCCAGGGATAACGCGCAGACAATTGGCAGAAATCTAAAGTGACACTTTTCAATCTATAGCCGGTGTTTGCTAGTCAATCAAAGGGATTTCTTCACTGTCATCAAATTGCTTCACAAAGCGTCGGAAAATGAAGGCAAAATTATCTCTCTCGTACAATACTTTCTATTTCACATTCAACGTGTGATGCAAATACTAGAGTTTGTAAATATAATAAGTTTTAAAATACACTTCAGGGTGTCACTAAATTAGATTATCAAATAAAGTACGTCGGATATTTCGATCACCGGGCTATTTTGATGAAAATAAAAGACAAAGTCACAGTATAGTGCGCAGCGTAGTCAGAGACGAGGACAATGGTATGAAGACGATTGAGAAGAGCGATAAATTTTGATTAAATTTCACTCTGTGTCATATTGGGATCGGAATATATCCTCGTCATCGAAATAGCTTCAGTCTGTCTTATATATCTACTTCACTTCTATCACTTTGTCATAAAGTAATATTTTGCGTATCTTTCAAAATGCGCAATTGACTCGGATGTCATGTTCAAATAAAGCCATTTGATTTTTCATTTGTAGAATACATTTACCCGCGTTTCCTCGCAAGATCATAAAGAAGATGCGAGCACATGTACGTAGCGAAATATAGTTTCACATTACCTGTTATACATAAGGACGTCAGGTTTCCACAGCCGATGCGGCGGTATTCTGAGGTCTCGCACGCCTCCATAGTCCGAGACGTTCCATCTCATGTTCACGTCGTTCCATTCCTGTAATAAAATAAAATTACACAAAATTGTACACAAACGAGAAATTGTGTCGTCAGTTTATAAAATTGAAACAAGTTTCTCGAGTATTTTACGTGCAAATCTGTAGAATAAAAGTCAAACATGTCTTGTGAAATATATTACAAATTTTATGAGCAATAGCTGTCTGTAGCTTTTCGAAAAAGTTCCTTTATCGATTGAGAGTTAACGAACAAACTGATTAGAGAATCTTTGAAGCAAAACTAACATTTCGTGCAATCAATAGGGAATATGAATGTTAACACGCGCACCTCAAAATCACGTTCGAATCACTCGCTGCGCTCTCTCTGAAACGATGTTGACGCTATCGATTTTTTAAGCGGCAAGTGCCGACCTTCGCTTTTCGCGCAAATATTTTAGACTACATCGTATACGTCAAGTAAACACTACACGCTTTCAATTTAATTTTCGTCCGGGGAATTTATATACGTGCAACTTCACGAGACGAGTTCGGTCTTTTTGCTCCTATAATATACAATCTGCACCTTTGGGAAGCCGCATTATAAGTACATCGCTCTTGTGCAAATGGATTCGAGAAATTACTTTATATTACTTTTGTATCTTTCGCAATTTATCTGATTTCTACGATGCGTAATTTCAACGTAATAAACTCCTACGAAGCTTTTATCATCCAATAGAATAAAACATAATTATTAACGATAAAATTTTTACAAAAGATTAATCGTTACTTTTTAGAGTGTAATAATTGGCAATAATTTTTTGATGCAACTTTTAACCAGTACTTTAGCAACCTAATTACGCGAACGGCGGTTATTTTAGTGCGGAAGAAGAGGGCGATGTCCATCGTATCGGACACTGAGTATGAAGGGCGTTACGTGCTCGCTAATACTCTTCCCGCAGTTTTCAAGAACATTTCACGAACTTTCCAGGCGAGTTTGCGTGACTTCTCCAAAGCGATTTAGGAAAGTATTCGTGGTTCGGGGGCTCTTCACTTCGGATCTGCGGACCTTCCTTCTCTCGACAGAGCGGAAATGAAAGAGACAGGATCGATCCAGCTGGGAACGTGGCAATAACAGATCGTTGTACGTGTATTTTTTTATCGCATTACATTAGATGAAAAAAAATTATTCTCGTCGGAGAATCAGAAAATGAACGTGATAATGTACGTTAATTGCATCTTGAAATGTGCTAATTAAATGCTCGTGTCCTTTCTCATTGCCTTTTCAAACCGCGTTTTTTGTCTGCATTATACTTAACTTGATTATATTTAACTTATTTGAACTTCTCAGAAAAAGTGAAGGAAGCTATTATCTAAATGTAAGTTGTCCAATCACATCAATCCTTTAACTAATGAATTAAATTTCAGACATATTTACATTATAATAAATTATTTAAACAAGATAAAAATTTAAAAAATTAAGATTACACTTTTAAAGTTATAAGAATTAAATTATATTTATAAGAATTAAAAAATATTGATTATTATTAAATTAGTATTAAATTTCAAAACTATCTTCTAAATACAATATTAATAATATATTAAATATTTAATTGAAAACCACAAGTAATTAAACGTAATCAGCGCATTTGCATAAATTAAATGTTAAAGGATAATTCATAAAATTATGAGCATATATTTATCTCTTCGTTATCAAAATTTCATTGTCGATTTATTGAACATTTTTTGTTGCATTTGCGTCAGGAGTTATTATGTCCATAACAATATACGTATTAAATAGATATAAACTTGCTACTAAATTGACTTGATGATTACGATCAAGTAATAAAACAGAGAAAGACTAGAGAAAATTACAAGAAGTTGCCTAAGATTTCCCAAAAGATCTTTCAATAAGATAGACTACTCTAGAGATATTTACGATACCATCTTTGTGGTACGCAGAGAGCTGAGATGGCTCCGCCGTACTCGATACCGATTACTGACTCCGATTGATTAGCTGTTGATGGAGTGCACTACGAGATAATTAATAACGATGCACGCGGTTCGACGCGGTGCGGCGGTTTGTGATGCCGCCGCGCATAGGCTATTATTATTATATAACCATCCACGCGCATGTGGAAAGCTGATGCTACTAATTGCCATCGCTTTGGTTTCATTAGTTGATAAGCGTAGAAAAGATTCTATGAGTTTCCCTCATATCTATAGAAAATTAAAAAAAATAGCACAAAGATACAGCTGCACGTTGTACATTTTTTAAATATAAATTTAATTCTTTGCGGTCTAAATTAATTGTTCATAAATAAACCAATTAATTTAATTAATTTATTTAATTTATCCTTATTTTAAAACTAAAAATTGTAAAAATATACTTTGTGAATTGCAATATTTTCAATAGGAAAAATTATCTAAAGATTCACATTTTTCTTTGTTTGCTCGAAAACTCTTTAAAGTTCTAGATTCCATTCAAAAATCTTGTTCACGTTCTATCCAAAGCTTGTCTGTCATTACGGTTCTCTTGTCTGAATGCATTCGCATTTTCCACAGGCAAAAAACTAATTGAGTCATCGGGCGCAGCCATTGAAGGCAAATCCTTCGCCTCTGAAGAAAGCATCTTGTCGACCGCAGAACAAAGCACCTTCGCGTTTCGCCAGAGCCAAAGACGACCTCGGCGACCCTCGGCCTCGGTTGCAGTCTTTTTATACACGATATCGTTCCTTATCGTCCTATGAAAAGCTGGATTTCCAAGTGCGAGCAATGATCCGTCCGTCTTCCACAGAGAAGACAAATACCGGCAATCTCGTTTCGCACTTTGCGAACGCTTCTGAAGAATGCGCCCTGGAGCGATGCGAGAGCCGGTGAGCCGGATGCAAAAGTAACCGGATATAGGATAAAAGTCACGGGGTCGGAACAGTAAGTGGAATTCCGTTGCGAAGCGCTTGCGATTTCGCGAGTCACGTGGATTCCGAACGAGGCGGCTTTCGAGATGAACGCCATTTACAAGTCACGCCTTTTGAGACGCGACCTATTTTCCGAGACGCTATTTTCACTGGAAAAGAACATTTTCGATCTACCTTTAGCGAGTAAAAAGACTCGCGGAAATATCATTCATGATTCGTGCATTACACGCCTTTATTTTACTTCCAACATCTTATCGTGTTTTGATTTCAATTTCTCGCGCCCGCGATGTAATTCCAAGACGAAGATATAATTTCTGGCTAGCTCTAATTGCTTCGCAATAGAAGTGATCGTTTGCGGCCAATTTGCTGTGTGCTGTTAAAACATCGCTCGTTCAAAAACAGAGGTACTTCGATAAAAGACGAGCGTAAAACGGTGCAACCGCGTAAAATAGCGCAAAGCTATAAAAATCCAACAGCATCGCAAAGCATCTAAGTGTTTTTCAACTTACGACTTCGCTGTTCATGCTATTATACGGCTGGCAAAGAGAGATAGCAGAGAAGATAGATAAACAGAGTTAAGATTAAAAAATGTAGCAGAAGGGTCGTGAAACGTGAACATTATTTGATATTAAGTCCGAGTAACATGTAGCTGTGGTAATCCGCATATAATTCAGTATCTTTCATAAAGAATTTTCCAAACTCTTCAGATTAAAAAACTTTTTCGCAAAACTTCCTTGTGAGAAGTTGATATTCTTGATATTCAGCTCTGTGCTAATCAAACACACAGTCTTCATTTTATCACATTAAAAACGTGACGCTGAAATAAGCGTTATCACGTACATGCTTGTATATTCACCTATACAATTTCTAATCATTAAACAAATTTATAAAATATATTTTCTAATAATAATTAAATGAAATTTGCATTCGATGATTATGCAATTATGTAAAATGTAATTTGTCTTTCATTAACTCAAGAGAGAGAATATCCATCAAGCGTCCGTTTCTCTGCGCGATAATTATACATCGACGCAGGCGAAAAGTGGGAACTCTCGTGTAGTTCAGTGATTTGCATGTCTAATCCGGTCTTAGTTAGCATAGTTCCATAGAACGTGACCTAATATTCTTGCACATACCGTAATTTACGCTACTGTGGTGTATATATGGTACATATATCTCCAAAAACTAGAAATCTCTAAATGCGTCACACTATCTTTGATATCATCGATTTATTCAGCACAACTAGAGAGAAACATTATTTATCTCTGTGCAAAGAAATTATGTTAAGACTTTATCAAATGCTTGTCTTGCATTAATGCGGCTTTAAAATAAATCTGATTAATTTTTTCTTTACTCAGATAATTATAAGAAATACTACATCTGTAGCGATAAATTATCAACATCAGTCTTATAACAATTTTAATTTAGTTATCAATATGACCAGAAAATAATATCAAAATATTATGATTGCATTCGCGTCGTATTACACTCCATCAATATAAAATTAAATTTTTTTCTGCGAGTTATCATATCATCGTATTGGCCTCCGCTTTTACTGAGGAAACATATAAATGTGTTTTATGAGTTTAAGGGAAATGCCTTCTATAACTCCATATATCTATTACCAGTTCAACTGCACGAGACAGCCGTACTCGGTCTTAGAAGGAGCGGGTGGCGCTGTAAAAATCGAGCATAAAATAACGGCCATCCTTTCTGTAACGACAATTACGTAACCGGAGGATATATGTCGCGGGACGAAATACAGCGAGACATTATCGCGCGGGACATTTTCGCCGGAGGGTCGAGACAAACGAGAAAGCTTAATCGAAATCGTCAACCAATCGTGAATTCTTTCTTTCCAAGAATCCGCGCTTTTTTCCCCAGCCGAACAATTTCAATGATACGAGAGGCACGACAAGGACGAGGCATTTTCGCAGGAGAGTCTCCCGGGAGAATTAATCGCGCGTTCGCGTTTTATACTCGCGAATCGGGAATTCGAATAATTTCGATTACCGTCGCGGAATCCCGATAGCCATTTTATTACATAAAACCGAGGGGGTGGGAAACCTTGCTCGGTAATTGTCACAAGAAGCCCCAATCCGCAATGTCACGTCATTTGCGATCCCCCTTCTCGTTTCCACTTTTCT